CTATAATTGTTCCGTGAGATATTGTATGTCGACACACTTTCTCGAAAAAATTAGAGAATAGTAGATGATTGAATTTAATCTCTTTCTTTCATAATATATTCCGGAATACGTTTGAATATCAGATGTACGCGTAGTGAGAGCACATACTTTAGAATTCCTTATGGCCGTGCCTCCATTCTGAACGCGCCGATGTGATCTCGTGGCGAAAGTAACGCCTATGTTGGAAATTAGCATATCATGATCGCCCCTCGAGATTAGGCGGGCGAGAAATTCCATAAAAGTACATTTCCGAAATCTCCACTGAAATCATCTCTCATAGCTGGAGTTCTCGTGCGCGCATAAAACGAATGTTACTTCGAGAAAGTTATTCAAGCCAGCAAATCTATCATCTAACTTATACATTTCTTGATCTCTCTAAATACATGTAATAAGAGCGATGTTTTGTTTAAATAGCCAGTTTAAATATTGGCTGATATGTGAATTACAAAAACTTTCTTATTTTTTAATAAAAAAAATTGTATTATTCTAACCAAATTTTTATTACATATAAAACATTTCTCTCAGTGTATCTAAATCAGTTTCTTCTTGTTAAAACAATATCTCTTTTTCTATATACTCTTTGTTAAAATAACATCTTTTTTATTTTGTTCTCCACTGCCTGTGATGGGGCGAAGATCATGTATTGTTTCCCAACAGCAAAAAACATGTAGTTTTCCAAAGTGATTACAAGCTCTAGCATACCCATATCGCAACCTTTCACATGACCAATTCTGTAATGGCTAATAAATTAATCCGACATGACAAACGACACTTTAATGGGCGATAAGTCGTCATCGAGTATAAATAGTTGATATTCGCTGCATCGCAATAATTTTCGATTAAAAACGTCGTGGCGCCTTAATTCATCCACGGTATACTCGTAAAACGTGCGACCGGCGAACTTGATCCGATTAACACCGTCGTCCGTGCACAATCGAGCTGCGTTTCATCGCAAACGGTCGTAAATCCGTAATTCAAAGTTCTCGCTCTAAAAATACCTCGTATTTCGTCATCATCTCGAGACTTCTTCATTTCACAATAATCCTGGAAGTAAGACGACTACAGAAATGAGAGTTAAACGACGTGGAGAATGCTATGTGGACGTGCAGGAACAACTAATGTGCTTTCTCTCCTTTTGATCATTTAGCGAGCGATCTCGTGACCCGCGACCTCGCGAAGCGGTGAATCGCTTCCTAAGTGGCTCGACATCGCTTTTGAATTCCTTTCCGTATCGTTGACGTTTCTCCGCTGTTATTATTTGCGCTAGAATTTACCGATTTTCTGCCACAATGCAGTTTCTCCGTGCGCTGAAGCGAATTATACGGAGTGACGGTGTCGCCGTAATTATCGACAGCGCGTGAAACGCGCGTAGAAAGCGATTAGCTATCTCCGTGCTGAATCAATAGAAAGCTCTCATAACTTATGTCACTTGATGCAGGAGATGCATCCGAGCTCGTTGATCAAACTAGCCGCCTCACGTCTCGATCTCGATCACGAATTCTCGTTTCTCTTCCCGGTGTATTATCAGAAACTGAGCATACCAGACGGATCAGAGAATCATTATAAACGGAAGATCCGTTTCGATAAGACGGGCTCCTCTTTAATCTAACTTAATACGACTCCGCTCTCGCCTTCCGTTTTATCGAGACAGTAATTAATGAGTTACATGAAGAAATGATATTACTCGTGGCTCGTTACAACATATAAGAGAATACCACTTTAACGCAATCTCTAAGTCCACTTACGAAAGCTAATAACTTAACGTCATGAGAATGGAAAAGTTTGAGGGTTTCAAAATTCGAAGATTTACGATCCGGAAAGCCACAAGTTTGAAAGAACCGTAAAGAAACATGTCGCAAATCAAATATCACCGCCACGAGTAGGTGTATATATCGGCTTTCTAAGAGATAAAACACAATTGTCACGTACTTGGAACAAGGACTATAACGTGAGCCTTATCTTTTTTATTGGACTTGCGAAAGCGAGTTAGTCAATTTCGTTTTGTCATTCTAACGGCTATGATCCCACGGGATTGTACTTTATAGGCGAATGTTTGCCATAGGTGCTGAAATTCGAGAGGCTCTTCAGCATGCAATTAAAGTCAACAAGGAAGGCAGCTGCCAGTGGCCACGCGCGAGAGTTATTCCGGTTCGTGACGTCTATCCGAGCCCATCGACCACCTACATTCCACACTGCGCCATATTACACAGGTGCTCGGATGACACCGGATGCTGCAGATCGGAAACGCTTACTTGTGTGCCGAAGCATTCTCATCGCATCGAGCTTTCCTTCTATGTAAGTCAATCATTGTTTTTTTATTAACCTTTACAGGATGGGAAAGCTACCATAATGACGCTGAAACAGTCATATTTTGAAGCAAGGAATATAATGATATATACACGGAAAAAAAATGTTGCTGGCTACAGTTAATTCTGATTAGCTGAAATTGAATTAGCTACTATAGCTATGAAATTTGCTAATATATACAAAGGATTTACTGCTGTAGCTAATATAAGGACGTGATAGCAAAGTATGCATGTCTGTTACAGATCATTTTTTTAGCAGCATGAAGTTAGATTGTTATCGGATATGTCCGTGTAAAAGAAAATTGTCTCTACCACAGCTAAATATGGTTTGCTGAAACGATACTTGCTACCAAATTGTCTGCTACACAGAAAACGTTTGCTGCAATGATCAGATCGACATAATAGCAAAATGCTTGTGTGTTACAATAATAATATTTAGGTCTCACAGCTAATGGAAATTAGACCTCGCAGATACGACGTTAGGTATCCATATGTTACGACCGGAATTTAGCTACCACACGCAAATTTTTACTGCTGTAATTAATCTTTTTTTTCCGTGTAATAAATCAAGCCTGTCCAATTTGAGTTCCGAAGCCAAAACGCAAAGCCATCGAGGCAAAAAAATTCAATGTGGGCAAGATTTCGAGGACTGTAAAATGTTGATACGCATCTCAGTGACACTTATCAATACTTTACAATCCCTGAAATCTTACTCACATTGTATTTTTTGCGTCGATGATTTTGCATTTTGGCTTCGGAGCTCAAATTGGACAGCTCTGTAATAAATTATAACAAATCTTAAGGAAAAGCTGTAATAAAAACTAGATTTTTAAAGTAGATCCCCATCCTCTAAAGTTTTAAACTCATTCTTTTTTAGCTTTTCTTTTTATTTCGCTGTAGTTTTTACATCCAGAGAAAAGTTTCTTCGATTAAATAAAAATTATTTGAATCAAAAAAATTTGTCCATTGCTATACGGTTAAAGAAAAGTTTGTTTGATTTGAACGTCATTTCATGAAATAAAATAAATTTTTCTTTAATTTGAACGTCATTTCTTGAAATAAAATAAATCTTTCTTCGATTAAAAACCTTTGATTTGACTCCAACTTAAAAATTTCAACGAAAAAAACGATTTCTTCATGATTTTTCTCTGGGTGTGTGATCTAATTTTGATATTTGGATTCAAAAAGGTAAAATGTTTTATGAATCAATTTAATTTGCACATGAAATTGTCCGTTTTTAATGAAATTAAGCAAAATTAATTCTTGTAAATTCCTTTGATGAGAATATCATTAAAAAAACATACAAATTTGTTCGTTCATGTGCGATTTAACATGGGATACATCGAAGGGATATGAGGCCGCAATAATTATTAACTACCGCGACGCATAATTTGCCAAGATAACGTATTAAGTGAATTACCGGCGCGGCCGTTAGCTGCGGACCGAATCGATTGAACGATAAATGATCTCGTAAATGTGGGCTCCCGCCGCATGCCAGATAAATTGCCAGTAGAAAGAGGCGCACTGGTGCCTCACCGGAACAAGATGGATGCATCGACGTAAGGAGGAAGACGTTATCCGACGGGAGAAAGTACCATTAATCGTGTAAACTGAATTGCGGACAATTTATTAGCGAGATGTCTCGAGAAAGAGCTAACAATATGCGGGCACGATTTACGGATCGTCGCCGAGATATCGAGCCGTGCAAATCCGCGTAAATTATCTCTCTGCTTCGGTCATAACAATATTTTATATACACAAACGTAAGTTTATATATGTATGAAGTATGCATCGCTATAAACGACAACAACCGTTTCTTTTCTTTTTCTGTGTACGCGACCGCAGCAAGCGCGTTATCGCACTCCTGGAATTAGATGCCCGCACGAAATGGTCTCTCGCATAGAAATAATCGTGGTAATTGGTCCGGTTTTAAGTGGACGCATTAGTGTCATGAAAAACAAGTGGCATTATAGGGCGACCCAACGTATATTGGTTAATTGAATTATTTTTGTCTTTATCTGGCTATATGCGCAATCAGACACCATAGTTGATCCACGACATAATAAACGATCTCGTACTCGACGTTCGCGATAACAGTAAAATAATTTACATGCCATGAAAATTGTTTTCAAAGCTCCTGTCAACAACGTTACGTACATAAAATGCAATAAAATATTACAACCATAAAGTATCAATCTTATAAGGTATCAATATCACTTATGTAAAAAGATTTTAAGTCATAGTTTATAACGATAATAATTCGTATCTCACAGTAAGAATTTTTGTTAAATTCCTGCCGGCAACGCATATAAAAGCGGTAAAATATTAAAATCATAATTTATAAAGTATCCATATCACTTAAAAAAATTAAATCTCGTCGGAACAGGAATTGCAACATTTTTCCTCTTTCATTTTTTTATCTTACGTGTGCCGTCACGGCATAATTAAGACCGCGAAGAAACGGATAAATATGAATGTAGCGTGTCTGGCCGTGGGTTGTCAATAACGTCGACTTTCGAGCGCCGTCGGCTTAAGAACGCTTAAATCGTTCGTAATTTGACGGATGACACGCGCCGTCGTGCTTGGTGGTCCGCGTTACTTTAATGGAACACTATTTGCGCGCGAATTTATATGCACAACGGTGATATCTCGGAAAATTATTAGATTTCCATTCGCAAGGCTGTATGACTATATCATCGTCGATTTACAACATTAATGTCCACTCATAATCGTGTTCGATATTGCCAATGATGAATGGTCGCGACGTATAAATGAGATTTGTAGCGAGAATTATCTTTATCTATTCGTGTCAAGTCGAATTTCTATTAGACGTTAATACTCTTTAAATTTTCCAAAGTGAAATCTCACTTAAAATGAGTAAAAATCCACTTGAAAATTGATAGTGAATATACTGCCACTCAAAATAGAGCAACATTTCACTTTTCATAAAGGTGAATATTTAAATCCAACTATACGTGAAAAGAACAATTTTGCTGAAGTACTTAAAAATTTAGCCACATACAGATCTGAAAATAATTTTGTTAGAGTATCTAAATAATTACGTAAGAATCTCAAGCTTGATGAGCAATGCTGCGTTTAAAAGAAAATTTTACCATTCCAATAACCAGTTTGAGCATTCCACATAATTATTTTATGGTCCAACAAAATTATTTTCAGATCTGTATCTTACAGCTAAATTTTTTAATACTTTAGCAAAACTGTCCTTATTTTGTAGTGAATGTTTCATTTGTTCGGAGTGAAATAACAGTCAACGTGATTTCAGTATAAGATTAGGAGTCTTAACCCGATACATAGAAAATTTTTATATTCGAAACTGTCTTAAGTACAGTCTTAAGATGTCATAAGCCAGTCAGAGGACTGTATTACTTAAGACGGTCTTAAAATAAGAACGGATATAAATATCGGCCTTAACCTATTTACTCGATATATGTAGCATTTTATTTTTGAAAATTCGTTCAAAAATCGTCGTCGAAACATTCGTTCTACGACATAAAGTGGAAGTCACTTCATACGAATAAAAAGTTACTCCAGTTTGAGCGATTCGGTATACAATCACTCAATTTTTTGAATGAAATTTCACTCAAGGAAATTTAGAGAATATAATTTGGCAAAACAAGATTTTTTCACAATTTTTCTTTTTTTTCATCGCAATGCACTCGAACGTTGAAAACTGGCAACCGTGTAGAATGAGGAGGCACGAAAAAGGCGTCGACAACGAGCCTTTTACACTCTCAACCCTAGACCTTCATTTGACGAACGGTAGTCGTGATTATGCAACTGATCGCGTTTACAGGTTAAGATTAAACCCGCTGTTTCTCTCGCAACCCGATACTTTGCGCAGCGTCGTTTCATCGCGCGATTACGGAGGACCCTACGATCAACTTCCACTTCACAGCATGCACACCATCATTTTCGCAGCCGGCTTGACCTAACCCAATTCCAGTTGCATCGAGAGAAATTTCGCGATGCACGCAGACCAATTGATTTTTAACCCTCTAATGATCGGGGTCAAATGTGACTCCACAGTTTCGTCATCAATTAAGACGATTTTTGTATTGAATTATTTAACGTCAATAAACTTTATTGTATTTTTTTGCTTAAACTGAAAATTATAAGATTCAAAACGCAACCATTGTTACCAGTAATCATCGCCTTCTAAATTAGAACAGTCGAAACGTAAATACCATTAACAGGTTTGATTACTTTGACTAATAATTACATCTATACATTGTGTAAATTCATCACTTTTTCATGAATTCAATTAATGAGATGCACGTACACGCAAGCATTATTTCGCGGTGCGGCAACCGTAAAGTATTCGCATCATAAATATGCAATTAAAAGCAAATATAACGAATCTGTTCCTCTCTCATTATACGCCCCCAACGTCAGCCAAGTTGGATTAATTACTCACCGAAGCTTTCGTCGCAATCGCCGGTTCAGCATTGGTGTATTATTATCTCCGCGTAATGAATACGTAATGTTATAACTGCATGCGTATTGAGTGTACCATAAGTCACCTCTGCCAGACTGCCAAGTCGAACGAATTGAGAGAAGAGGAGAAGCAAGCAATTAAGGGTTTATGGTATTTTCATTAAAAATTAACAAAATGTCTCCCAATGAAAACCCACGCGCCTGACCATCATGCACGATAAGAACGATAAAATATCGCAGACAGTAAAACGGTCTTTAAGGTCTGTGCGTGTTTCATTCGTACGTATCGAAGATTAATCTATCTCTTTTTTGTACACGTATCGTATCGCGGTTACGAGGCACACTTAATTAATTGCGCTCCGAACACCCGTAAGCGTGAACGACAAATTGGAATGCAAAAGAAAATCGAAAGTAAATGAGAGATTCCTGCTCACGGAAGAATATTGACCCTTGATCTCTCTTTTCGATTAATTGCGAGCAGATTTCCCCATTCCTCTGACTTTCTCTAGAACCTAGTGATTTGTGAATATGTTA